TTCTGCCGTTGCCGAGAAGAATTGCCGAGAGATCTGATTAGCCATCAAGATCAGTGAGTTCCGAAGCGTGTGAAGTGGCACACGAACTTTCTCTTCTTGATTGTTTCCTTTCTTGTTTGTTGTTATTTTTGTGGTTTGGCTCCCGTTGTTTGTGTGGTTGTTGTTTAGAGTTTTGTGGTGTTCGAGTGCGCTTCCCTGTTTGTTTTGGGGGTTCGGAGAGACTGGGTCGCTCCCAAGGGCCGAACAGTTACCTGACGAGGTAACGGGGATTGCCCGTCGTGGAAGGCCCATGTGGTACATCGTTTATAGACTTCGTGGCTGTAAACGGACTGTTCACTTGTTCGATGGGAAGGATCGTTCACATGGCCATAGGATTTGTTGTGTTGTAGTTATTTATTGTTGTTGCTTGCTTGTTTAGGATTGCATGTTAGATTGATTGTTTGCCATTGTTCCATCAATAGTTTTGCTTGCTTGCTTGTTGATCTATTTTCTGTTGGGGACTTTGGGGTGTTTAATTTCCAAGATTAGGCGCCGAACTAACTGAGTAATTAGTACTCATGATGCCACTATTTTGTTGCAGGTAACCTTAGTGGAAAAAGCTTTAGAGGGGACATGGACGCTAGGAACCCGGTGTAGATTTTATTGTCTTTGTAAAGTTGGTTTTATAGTGTAGTTTATTTATTTTGAGCTTCACGCTTGGCGCCGTAAACTTTATTTGTATTTGAGATTTTATTAGTTAATAAAGATGAATTTTTCTTAAAGCCTTGTGTGCTTCTTGATATTAGGTTCTGTCCGAACTAACACAACTCACGATCGCGGTACGGGTTGCAAAGCCTTAGGCCGTGGTCGAGAGGACATACTCGCGGACGGACCGACTAGAGTAGCTGGATTTGTTCTAGCAGCCTCGGTTGGACTGTCTACGAGTATCAAACCGTGGCGATTCCGGACCGTCTGGATTTCTAGAACGGTTCAGGGTCGCTACAGTCATAGTCTCTCTTCCCTGCAATATTCAAGAGGCAAATTAAAACAGAAGTGTAATGTAGAACGTAGATCATCAGATAGTAGGAACATTGCTTCAGCCACGAAGAGCGAGAGCTCAACTCCGAGTTGTATAGCCTCCTCTTTTGGCTTCTCCTTCTCCTTGTTGAGATCAGTCCTACAAATAAAATAATAAATTAGTATACTGTATTCACTAATAAAACTTAACAAACTCTCAAAGGAAATAATGAAAGATATCACTAAGGAGAATATATATCTAGACTGTGGTAATCTTATGTTGTGACGGACAACACGAACATGGTCAGTCATAGATATTGATTCCATTTGTTTCGAGATGATGGAGATGTTTGACGAATTCGTCAAGGAGGATGGATCCTGATGCAATTTTTGTTGGCTTTCCAATACATATGCAAATAAAATAGAAGGAAACAATTCATGGTCAACAAAGGCAAGTTATTGAGGGTTTCCAATCCATGAATTAAAATATCTATATATCTATATATACATTTTTGGAGTACACTTAGCAAATAAATCCTAGAGTTGCTAAGTATTTACAGAGAATGCCATTGGCATTAATTATTTTGATTAGAAAATTGAAATACAAGATATTGTCATCAACAACGTTGCCTTAAATCTCTCAACAAATTCTACACGGTTTAGTTCATAAATACCTAATTCGCATTAATTATATAGATTTTAAATTTTAAATACAATATATTGCGCTAAACAAACATTTCCAAAAATCTCTCCAAAAATAATAGTAAATGGTTTCGTTAATAAATCTCTAATCCGAGATTTTTGGAATCAACTAATTACTCACAATATACCTTTTCTGATATTTATTTTTTCCGATATCTCCAAAAAAAAATTGGTATAAAAGAAGAAAGTTATAACGCTGCTAATTTTAAATGCTAGAATATTCTTAAATCCTAACAATTTCGAAGATTTTATCCCATATTGGTATCAGAACAGAATATTTTTTTGCGTGGAGGTGCTGGGCATTTATGACCTAATTTATGAGCCTATAAATTATCTTTAGCTTGACGTCTCATATCTTCATCACACACAAAAACCACACAGTCGAAAACATTTTTAAACACACCTTAATTCTCTTCAAATGGCTGCTAATTTTGCATTTCTCCGAGATGTTCAACCCTACAATCTTCTCCGATGAACTGGTGAGAAACAATTACGTCAGTTGTGCTACGTTAGTTGCTTGAGCAACGATGATTCAAGACAATTAGATCTTATTTGTGGTAAAGCTAACTTAGTTTTTGTAAGTGATATTAGTGAGAGAATGGACGAGAATTTTTCTCCGGTGGATGAAAAACCAATCTCATCAAGTAAAAGATGGTAATGAGCCGGTCTTGAAGTTCTCTGAGACATAAATTTGGTGATGGGACAAAGAAAAGTGGAAAGAAGGAAAGAAAGAGAGAAGAAGGGAACAAACTTGGGATACGAATGGTGCCATTGACGGTGTAGCCACCAAGGAGCAAAAGCTTGACAATCCAAGACACTATATAGCGAGAGCTCCGGTGACGCAAGCCACCTTTACTCCATCGGCCGTCTCTCTTCACTATATCTGATTAGTAGAATTAGTGAGGTTGGTACGCTTCACTATAAATGATAAATAATGTCATAGTTAGGGTTACATACAGTTCGATACTCTAATTTTAAATTTGCATTCAAAGATGGGTAAATATAATTACGCAGAGAAACTGGAAACTTTATAACTTTGAAATAAACAATTACCTTTGCTTTTAGTACCTCGATTCCCACTTTCATCGATGAGAGATTCTTCTACTACTCCCTAATTTAGGACAAATATTCAATTTCATAAATATGAACAATTAATAGCTAATACTCATGGATTAAAAATTCTTCAGAAATCAAAACCCTAAACATGCTTCTGTTGTAGAAGAAGGAAAATAGTCTAATACCTGGAGATCTATATTTCATCACCGTCTCAAAGAAGGAACTTATTAGGAAGATGCAATTGAATCGATGCTTTAAGAAATGGTAGGTGTAATTGGATGCAAATTTCTGAATCGATTCTCTGTGTTTAGCGAGATGAACTGATTCCGTTAAAGATTTGATTCTAAAGTTTTTGGATGATATAAATCATAATTTGAAGAATTGCTAGAAGGTCTGTTTTTTTTTACCGACAATAAAAGAAGAGAGACGATAGTTTCTCCTTTTTTTAAAAATATATACATCTGGTAAAAAGGATGAAAACACTCTGCTTTCCTATTAAACACTGGACTTAATTTATTTTAAAACAATTTTTTTTTGTCGAAATTTAAAAACAAAATTACTATGTATTTGTATTTGTTGTGTTCTTTGTTTTTAATGTGAAACTTTTTGTAACCAAAATACAAAATAAATACAATGGTTAGTGGAGTTGATAGATATTGGTTGGGTCACAAAGAATTTGTTGTCTTTTACAGTAATTTGATCTAAATATTGGATATAAAAATATTTCTGATAATTATATTCTTATTACCAAACAATTATATAATATGCGATTTATATGGAAAAATAAGTTTTTGTAAATTATGTTTTAAATTATACAGTGTAATTGACTATAATCTTTTTCTTATATAATATGGGGAATCAGAAAACACCATAAATTTGTTATTGTGAAATCTATTGTTTTAAACAATATCAAAGTTTGATAATATGGATTAACAAAAGGTTTCATAGATTAATACCATATCACTACTACACCTACAAATTTATAATATATCATTTCAAATAAATAAGTTTAATTTGCAAATACACAAACAACAACAGAAAAATGATATATAATCTGATACTATGTTTTTTATAACAAAAAATAGTAACATATTTATTAGACTCAAAATTTTAAAACCTAATAAATAATAAATAATTAAAAAGAAAATATAAATTAAAAAATGGTTCCGCGGTGTACCGCGGGTTAAATCCTAGTAAAGATACAATTTTCAGACTCAAAAATAAATCAGATGCAAAATATATATATCCCAACGCACTTGGTTCTTAGGTTCCAATTCGAAACCCTAGATAGTAACTTTAATCGATATCTAAATTTACCAACGTATTTGTTTCTATGGATTTGAAACCTCTTGACCAATCGATATCAAATCCAAATTCCTTGAAAACAATTTATGGACAAAAGAAAGAACCATGCACTCACCTCATCGTTGTAGTGTATAGACCTTAAAACGTACCAGAGCCGGCCAGGAGTACTAGCCAGCAAAGCTGGTGCTTGCGGCCGTCTTATATTTATATACTAAATCGGCCCCATTTTCAAGTGAATGTCCCTTAGTTCAGCTGGAAACATACTAGCAACTCTACAGTCTGATCTCTGGTTCGATTCCCAGCAGATGAGAATTTTTTTTTTTTTTTCTCAAAGGGAAAATCAGCCCAATTTTTGTTTTTTTACTTGTAGCCACCAAAACTTCAGGGACGGCTCTGAACGTACCCCAAGATTCCTTACCAATTCTAAGCCAACTATTGTTTCTCTCTAAAATGGAGTACAATAAGCTTTAGAAGATTCTTAAAATATACTTTTTCATTATATCGGGGATTTTTAGGCTATATAAGGATTGACTGACAAATGACAAATAACAAAGTCCTTTGTCAACGAGATTATGGCTAGCCAATAGATATATTTTTTTAAAAATTAAAAATGGTGACAAAGGCATCCATAGATGCAAGCGTTTACTTCAAAATGTTTATGCTAAATCTGGCAACATACATGATTGTTAAGAGTTAATAAGAACCCAATTCTAGAATGACAAACTTTATCAAGAAAACAAAAAGGGAGCAAAATTCCCAAAGAGGATTAGTGAGAAAATTGCTTTTCTTCCCTTGGATAAACCAATAAACCCTTATAACCCTCCAAACTCTCAAAAACGATCTTCAAGCCTATATATATATATATATATATATTTAAATGACCCAAAACCAAGAACGTTAAAGTCTCATTAGACTAGTACTAAGACTTTTGTATCATGATGATCAGATATATTTTAAGATAAAAACCCAATTTTCAATCTTTGCAACATGCCAAGAAACAAGATCAGAACTCTTAATTGGGTGGGAAAACGTGCTTTCATTCCAGTCTCCTTTGCCCATGATCTCATCGGATTTAGAGTTTACTATAACAAAAGATGTAAGAAACTTAAAATTGTTAGTGTGAATTCAAATCATACTCAATGATGCTTCTTAAGTAGAGTTTTCATGCCACTTGATACTACCACCTTCTTGAACTCATGACTTTTGTCTTACATTTATTAAGAGAATCAAATGAATAGTAATGGTTTCATAAATATAAGCCGAATAACATTCTGAAATAAAAATAAGATTATCCAATCTAAGAAACTCTTATTCATATGAGTAAAGAACCAAGAAGACGACAGCAAGTATTCCGGTTTGCTTCGTTTGAGAGAGGCTTAAAAAGCTATATAACTATATTCTTAACTATATACACCAATATGTATTAACTGTCAAAAAACATAGAAGAAAACCATCCAATCCAAAGGAACTCTGATTCATATGTGTAAAGAAGCAATAAGACGAGAGCAAACATCCTGCCTTGCTTGGTTCAAGAGAGGCCTAAACATATCATGAATTCTAACCCTAGGGAATATCAAGGGTAGTGTTACAAATAGAGACTTCCACAAATGAAGAATGTTAGACTTCATCGCTTCTCCCACAAAACCATTCGCCTCTAAAACATCTTTGGAAGACCTCAACTTCTCCTCTAGCTTCTTCAGCTCTTGGTTGTAGTGTTCAAAATAAATCGGTGGCATAGAGCCGCCATTTTCAAGAACCAAAACAATGTGCTCCAAACTCCTGACCCCGTAAGCAAAATGCTGGGTAGACGATTTGATCAGATCCAATTTGGTGGATTTGCCATCAGCCTGATAGACTCCATTCTTTGGTTTGATATATGTTTCAAACACATATAGCATGACATAAATCAGTATTTTTACCACTTGGGTGGGATTCTTCTTTTCTTTGTTCCTAGTAATAATATACTTCAATATTATCTGAACACAGAAGTGTAACATAGAACGTAGGTCATCAGATAATAAGAACATTGCTTCAGCCACAAATACCGAGAGCTCAACTCCGAGTCGCTCAGCCTCATCTTTCTGTTTCTCATTGGTAAGATTAGTCTCTTTAGTGTTAGGAATAGTAGCGATCACTGACCCTAAAATGTAAGGAGAATATCTAGACTGTGGTAATCTCTTGTTGTTACGGACAACATGGTGAGTCATTGACATTGATTCCATCTTCTCCGAGATGGTCGAGATGTCTGAAGAATTCATCGAGGAAGAAGGCTCCATATGCAATCTATGAATCAAAATATAACGACACAAATCAGATTAAATGTATCACATAGCGTTTGATTATCAATCAAGGCAAGTCAGAGAAGACGAACCCTAGATTAATAGAAAGAAAATAAATTATTCCACTCACCTTGTTGTTGTAATCTTCGACGAATAATAATATATTGGAAATAATGCTTTATGGATTATCAAGGATATATATATATGTGAGGTATCTCATTAATATTTTATATAATATTAATATTTAAATTTATTTTTAGTTAAATTTTTTTAAATATTTATGTCTCATTAATAATTTTTTTAAACACATCAAACTAAATCTTAAATATATTCAATTGAATTAATTAATTATATTTATTTATAGTAAACAAAATCATAAGATAATATGTTATTGCATTGTTTTTAAGGACTTATGTTATTGTATTATTATATTAACTAAACCAATAGTAATTTAATATTTTGTATTAACCTTAAGTAATATAACCCAAAAATAATATTAATATATAATTTAAACTTATGCATAATATAGCTTGATATATAGATGATTTAATTTTATGATTGATAAATAATAAGAAATAAAGAAAATAACAACATATTAACCATGTAATTAATATTCTAAACAAGAAGTGAACCACTTAAAAAAAAGACATGTATCCATGTTTTTATGAGAGATAGAGTTTCTCCTAAAATGAAAATAGATTCTAGACAAATTTGAATAAAAGTTAATATTTCTTTATTATTAATAGGAGTTTCTAAATTAGAACCTCCCAATGAAGATGCTCTAGCATTATATATTCCGACGAGTAGTTGTTTGATATTTTCATTTTTGTAAGCAATTTACACTTACATTAAAGATGTTCAAATAAATTCTTATGTTATACTTATTGTTTTGTTATTATAATAAGTAAATATTATTAAACTATCAAAGAGAATTAGTGTCTAAATTACTACCATTTGAAGTGAGTGTAATTTTGTGATTAGTTAATTTATATTTTTCCATTGAATTAATGTTATTAAAATCATATATATAAAAGTTGATCTACTCTCTCTATATTAGTGCCATGTCATGAAACAAGAAAATGACAAGTATCCACTATATAATTAATGTAAGCTCTACACCTTCAATTCCAAAGGTTAATTGTACAATTTTTATTTTTCATATTTAATTGTTCCAAAACTAAATTTATTTTATTATTATATTTTTTAATCAATAAAGTTCTTTTTATTGGTTTCTCTTACTTGTTTGGGGTTTCTTCGCTAATATTTTGTAGTCTTAACTACAAATAGGAATAGATAGTATTACATAGGGTTCGCTAATAGTTTGAGTATGTAATTTTCTTTAACTTCTATCTATATAATATATCACAGAGGATGTAGATTACATAAGAGGGTCTTTATCATCAAATTCTTGAGATTTCTACAATCCCAATATTACTATCTATAAATTTTGCTTAGGAGAAAGATTGTTTCAGAATTGTGTGAGTGTCACCTAGTTATATATAGTGTCAAAGTAATTATGGTATATTTACATACACCTAGTAACGTGGCTTAGCATGTCTTGTTGTATATTTTTCTTATGCATTATTATTTCTAGGATTAGTAATGGTGGAAGTTACATTTAGAAAATAAATGCATTTAAGGAGTTAAAATTTTGTAGAATTAGTAGGAAAACCATTCAAATTATAAATCATGATCAATATGATTTAAATCAAGTAGTAAATGTATTTTAGTGGGGTTACGTGATATTTTCTAATGATTTACTAATTTGGCTTTACATTTTTGGATAAAACATAAATGTATTTAATACTATAAAATTCAAATTTACAATTTTATTTGTTCATATAAAAATGCACATAAAGTATATATTTAATAATTAAAATTTAAATCAATTTGCAAGTGATAAACTAAATCTGTTTTCTACAAAATCATATGAACTACAATTTAAAGCTTTAAAAAAAATCTTCAAAGATACTTCTATTTTTTTTTTTTTGTTTAATTCCAGTCAATTAAAATTTTACAGCTAGGTTTCATTATAATGATTTCAACTTTGTAGGATTTACATAGCTAGGTTGTATTATCTATCTTTTTAGTTAAATTTTGTTTTTCTAGAAAACAATTTGAAACCACAAACCTTGAATAAAACACCTTATATGATTATCTCTTGGATCACAAAAACTAAATGTAATGATAAGGATACTAAATATGTTACAAAAACAAATATTTGAGATATGACAGAAGTAATTTTTAGAAAGGAAAAATTTAAAACCAAAAACCTTGAATAAATTAGACATTATAATGATTCTTATTTAATTATGTAATGGATAAAAAATGTAGGATGAATATATGAAAAATGTTACATATAATTATTTGAGATAAAAAAAAACAGATGATAGAAAATCGATTTAAATATATTATAATAATTTATTTCATTATCAAGATATATGAATATGTGACAAAATAATCAAACATCAAAAGCAGAGAATGAAGATGGATCTCTTTAACCTGATTTCCTTGTTATGCGATATTGCGATGGATGGAATTGATATTTTTGAATATTCATCGATACATCTAAAATATTGTTATAATCATCAAGATTTTCATTATACATATATAATGATGGATAATTCATATATAATGTAATATTTTTATAATCAACTATGATATGAAAATTACAAAAAAAGAAATAAAATTTAGAGTCAAAACTCTTATAATGATGTCTCAATTGATTTTTCAACCCATGCAACAACATAAGAAACAAAGAATTTAAGATTTTAATTTAGATATGATGGATGAGAATGATAGAATAAATATTTATAGGATGCGAAGTGATGGAAGATATATTTATAAAAATAATTAATTATATTATGGGAGTTACATTTACAATAATTGTGTGATTGAATGACATTGAGTGGATGAAATTTTTTTAATACATAATATTTATGATTTCAATTATAACTTGGCATGAAGTGTGAATTTATATGAGATTAAATGTGTTGTATATGTGGTTTAATTGCAAATAAATTTTGTTTTTTTTTAATTATTTTTGGGAAATGAATTGCCAAGTGGACCAACAAAGAGAGAGTGAAACCTTACTTTTATATATATGATTAGAATATGAGTTATTTCTGTAAATTATTAAAGTAAGAGCATAATTTAAGTAAATTTGAAAAGTAAATTCTCCTAGAAAAGTTTCCTCTATCATGGAGAAATTCAGTTTTTTGTCGGTTTTGTTCATGATTGCGACAGCGTTAAGTAACACTTCGAGCACCTCTATCAATAGTTTTTATATAGATTTCTACAATAGTAAAAAGCAAAAGAGTAATGATAAATACTTAGATGGGTATCATGAATAGTTGAGAAATTCATGTGAGAGTATCTCAAAGTATCTCATTGGAGAAACTTTGAGATGAATTTCTTAACCATTTAAGATACTTATCTATTTTTATAGGGTTTATTTTTCGCTTTTTACTATTATAGAAACCCATCATAAAAACGGGTCCGGGTACGGTGGACCCAATTATTATTGTTGGGTTGGTAATAATTATATACAGTAAAACCTATATAAATTAATGATACCGGGACCGAGAATCTATTTGAAAAGCATTTGAAAAGCATTTGGGTTGGTAATAATTATATACAAACTTCACTATGACAAAAATCAATTTGAAAAGCATTTTTTCTTTATAAACAATAGATTTCTAAAACCATCCTACCAAAATATATATATATATATATATATATATATATATATATAATATTTCTAAAACCAATTACAAGTAGAAAACCATCATCGGATACAAGTAGAGGCTTGATTTCCACAGCACCAACAAGCTTAAGAGTGGATGGTACCAGATCGAATACACATGTATTCCCATCCTCGGAATTTCAAACCCAAACCATCAGTCATCTTCTCTTTGATACTTCTGAGAAGGTGTTGTAGCCCGATGACATCCATCCTCCTCCTCCTATAGCACTCATTGACGAGCAGGCTTTTCCTCCTCCTGGTGCACAAATCGGTGAGTATGCTCTTCCTCCTCCTGGAGTTTTCAATGCCCAGTAGACTCATAGATATTTCAGTATAAGAGATTACCAGCATCTTCAGAGTGCTTTCACTGCTTACCATCAGCCTAAGGGAGATTTCAGTGGTCATCAGCAGCTTCAAAGAGGTTTCACTGCCCACCATCAGCTTCAAAGAGGTTTCACTGCCCACCATCAGCTTCAAAGAGGTTTCACTGCCCACCATCAGCCTTAGGGAGATTTCAGTGGCCACCAGCGAATTGCTTTCAGCGACCACCCTCAGCCTCATGGAACTACTTTCAGGAGAGCTACTTTCAGCGACCACCTTCAACCTCTGGGAACTACTTTCAGGGCTTTCGGCGACCACCTTCAGCCTCAAGGAACTATCAGCGACCACCTTCAGCCTGGTCCTTCCGATGACTCTACCGGTTTGAGTGCAAATGAGTTGATCATGGATGAGGAACAACAATGGTTCCATGAACACGTTTATTCTCTTTTCTCTAAACCTTTATGTTTTTGACTATATCTTAAACATTGTTCTGTCTTCAAAGTGATGAGCCTTGATCCGGATTAGCAGACAGTTAATTTATTTCCGGTTTTTTCTTTTGTTGACTGTCTAATGAACATGCTTTGATAGCTTTTGGGCTATATTTAAGGGGCAGTTAATTTATTTCCGGTTATTGTCTTTTGCTAACTGTCTAATGAACATGCATTGATAGGCTTTTGGGTTAGTAAAGGGAAAGTTTCTCTAGCAGAAACTAACCAAAGTGTGTTTTATTATGTTCTCCTAACTCTATAGAGCTCTGTAATATGTACAGATCATATAAAATGTTCATAGTGAATTCTAACAATGAATAGATAAAGAATTTGATTACAATTGGAAATGGAAGTTATCTAAATCTCTATGAACTCAACTGGATAAATCTGACAGTAGTAAAAACTCATAAACCATATAAGAATGGATTGGAGTTGACAATTTGGAGCTCGTTTGTAGCGTCCCGTCCTGGACGTCTTGGCGTCCGGCGACCATGGACACACGTTCGCACCTCTTCCCGACCGAACCTCTATATTTTTTCGCTCGCGCCTCTTCCCGTTCCAACAACTTCGTGGTGTATTTTGGGACTTGTT